GAGACTAGAGCACTATCTCRTCCTGCACAAAAATCAACTCTAAAGGAATCAAATACCTAGGAATGAGACCAGAGCCATGCAATTCCTAGAAGAAAACATGGGTCAACACTTTAACGTATGATAGGCACAGGCAATGACTTTCTCAGTAGGACCCCTAAATCTCAGAAAGTAATGCCAATAGTTAATAAATGGAATAGCATAAAATAAAAAAGCTTCTGAGCAGCGAAGGAAACAATTAAGAATTTGAAGAGGACACAAGGCCCTGGGTTCAATCCCCAGCACCACAAAGAAAAAAGAAAAAGAAAGAAAGAATGTGATGAAAGAGCCAATACAATGGGAGAAAAGTATTTGCTAGCTCCTCTTCTGTCATAGAATTAATGTCTAGAATACAGAAAGAGCTAAAAAAATTACCATCAAAAACCAAGATAACCCAACTAATAAATAGGCAAATGAACTAAATGTACACTTCTCAAAAAGAAGAAACATAAGGGGATGGGGTTGTGGCCCAATAGTAGAGCACTCACCTAGCATGGGTGAGGTACTGGGTTCGATCCTTAGCACCACATAAAAATAAATAAATAAACGCATTGTATCCATCTATGACCAAAACATATTAAAAAGAAGAAGAAGAAGAAGAAATATAAGAGCCAATAAATATATGGAAAAATATTTATTAATTAGGAAAATGCAAAAACAAAATTACCCTGAGATTTCATCTTGCTTCAGTCAGAGTGGCAGCCATCAAGAATGCAATCGGTAATAAATGCTAAATGGGCCAAGAAACTGAACAGACATGTTAAAAATGATCAATATCTCTAGTAATTAGAGAAATGCAAAGTAAAACTACTCTTAAGATTTCATCTCTAGTCAAATTGGCAGCTATTAAGAACACAAACAACAATAAGGCACACTCATACATTGCTGGTGGGACTGCAAAATGGTGCAGCCAATAAATATGAAAAGCAGTATGGAGATTCCTTGGAAGACTGGGAATGGAACCACCATTTGACCCAGCTATCCCACTCCTAGGTCTATACCCAAAGAACTTAAAAACAGAATGCTACAGGGACATAGCCACATCAATGTTTATAGCAGCACAATAACTAAACTGTGGAACCAACCTAGATGCCCTTCAGTAGATGAACGGATAAAGAAAATGTGGCATATATGCACAGTGGAATATTACTCAGCAGTAAAAGAGAATAAAATCATGGCATTTGCAGGTAAATGGATGGAGTTGCAGAATATCATACTAAGTGAAGTTAGCTAATCCCAAAAAACCCAAATGCTGAATGTTTTCTCTGATATAAGGAGGCTGATTCCTAGTGGCGTTGTGGAGGGGAGCAAGGGAAAATTAGATGAACTCTAGATAGGGCAAAAGGGTGGGAGGGGAGGAGAGGGGGCATGAGGGTTGGAATGACAGTGGAATGAGATAGTTATCATTACCCTAAGTACATGTATGAAGACACGAATGGTGTGAATATACTTTGTACACAACCAGAGATAKGAAAAATTGTGCTCTGTATGTGTAATATGAACTGTAATGCATTCTGCTGTCATATATAAAAAATTAGAATAAAATTTTAAAAAATAAAATTATAAATGCTGAAGAGGCTATGGAGAAAAAGGAACACTTACATTGTTGGTAGGTTTGTATACAAGTATTATCCACTATGCAAATCAGTATGGGGGTTCCTCACAAGACTAGAATGGAACCACAGTAAGATCCAACTATACCATTCCTCAGTATTTATCTTAAAGAATTAAAGTTATCATTCTATAAAGATACATGCATACTTATAGCAGTACAGTTCACAATAAACAAATTGTGGAACCAGCCCATGTGTTCATCAACAGATGAATGAATAAAGAACACGTGGTATGCATACACAATGGACTTTTTTATTCACCCATAAAGAAGAATAAAAGTAAATCGTTTGCAGGAAAATGGATGGAACTTRAGAACATTATGTTAAGTGAAATAAATCAAACTTATAAATTGAAGAGTCGAATGTGAAAGGTAGAGAGGGAAATTGAAAAGAAAGGTCATGGTGGGGTCTTATGAAAATTGAAAGAGCAGTAAAGTAGAAGAAAGGAACCAGAGAAAGGGAACTAGGGGAAGGGAACCATAGGAAGGGAGGAGGTAGAGGAAAGTGGAAATGGGAATGATATTGGCCAAATTATATTGTGATATTTTGTGCATATACAATATGTAATAATAAAACCCACCATCATGTACAACTATAATGCACCAACTAAAAATAATATGAAAAAAATAAACTCTGTCTCACACAGCTTATAGTTAGATCATATGTTTAATCCATTCTGTCACTCTGTGCTTTTGATTTAATAGTTTTGTCCCTTGACATTTAAAGTCATTACTGACAGGACTTCAAAGCTTTTTTTTTTGGTGCCAGAGATTGAACCCAGGGGTGCTTAACCACTAAGCCACATCCTCAGCCCTAGTTTTATATCTTATTTAGAGACAGGGTCTCACTGAGTTGCTGAGGGCCTCCTGAGTTGCTGAGGCTGGCTTTGAACTTGCTATTCTCCTGTCTCAGTCTTCCAAGTCGCTGGGATTACAGGTGTGTACCACCACACCCAGCTTGCTATTTGTTTTCTGTATGTTTTGTTAGTTTTTTTGTTTCTTATGTTCTTTGTTTCTACCTCTTTTGTGTTTATCTGCTCTTTGTAATGAATCATTTTGATTCCTTTCTCATTACCTTTGTGTGTATACTTTTAGATACTTTCTTTATGGTTTCTAGGTGAATTGTATTTCACTTCCAAAGTTTATAATATTATATTTTAAATTGATACCAACAACCTCAATATCATACAAAAACACTACATCCTGATACCTATTCCCTAATTATTAATGTGTTGTCACAAATTGTATCTTTATGTTTTGGATGTGCAAGAGCATAGGGTCATAATTATTTTTTATTCTTATTTCCCTCAAATCTGGGAAATTAAAAGTGCAATTGCTAAGTAAGAGTACAATAATTCTTTATATGTTTGCSTATGCATTTACCTCTACTGGAGATCTTTATTTCTTTTTAAGGTTGAGTACTATCTAGTAGTCTGATGATATAGAATAAGATGAACTCAGTTCCTTTTATACTTTCATTTAACAACACATTTCTGATGTCAGATGTAGGGAATTTCCCTTTGTYCCCCCACCGCCCCCAAGGAAGCAGTATGGCATCAGTGGATACTAGACATCCATCTTCAAATTTATTTCCGTTCTTATATATATTCTGCCTGTGGATAATGTCAGATCTGACAGCTAAGACATCACTGCCCAAGAATCTGTCCTTCCAGTTCAAATATAAATTGAAAGCCCCAGGTGTGTGTGTGTGTGTGTGTGTGTTTGTTTTAGTGCATTTTGACATATTCATAAATGCATATAATATAGTTTTCTCCATTTCAATTCCCAGTACGTCCTCTTTCCCTCCGTCCTCCTGGTCCCTTTCCTCTACTCTATTAGGCTTCCTTTATTTATTTATGTATGTATGTTTTTATGGATGCATTATAAGTATATAAAAATTTAAATGCATTAGATTATATTCATCATGCACATAGCATGTTTTGTAAGCTTCATTTTTCATTTCTTCCTCTCCTCCACCCTTTTTCTCCCAGGTCCCCTGCTTCTCTACTGATCTCTTCTATTTTCACAAACTCTTCCATTTTTAATCCTTTTTTCCACTCTAGCTTGTGAATGCAGGAGAGAACATTGGACCCTTGAGTTTGAGTCTGGCTTATTTCCCTTAGTCTGATGTTTGCCAGTTCTTTCCGTTTATCAACAAATGTACACATTTTTCTTAAGTTGTAAATATCTTTGTAATGAATCATTTTGATTCTTTCTCATTACCTTTGTGTATATACTTTTTATACACAATGTATTTATTTATTTGTTTGTTTTTATGTGGTACTAAGGCTCTAACCCAGTGCCTCACTTTGCAAGACAGTCTGTTTTCCACTGAGCCACAGCTACACCCTGAATGTACACACTTTTGAAGGAAATTATAAGTGCTACTATACTGAACATGACAAATGTTAAGAAAAGCAAAACAGCTTATTGCTGATATGGAAAAGTTTTAGTTGTCAGAGTTGTCAGGATAGAATCTCAAACTATCCACAGTGTTCCTTTAAATCAAAGACTAATCCAGAGCAAGGCCATAACTCTGTTCTGTTAAGGCTGAGAGGTGAAAAAGCTACAGTAGAAAAGTTTGAAGCTTGTAGAGGTTGATTGATGAAGTGTAAGGAGAGAAACTATCTCCATAACAAAAGGACAAACACAAATAGCCCATGAAACTATGATATGATACCTACCTATTACACATTTATGAACTTCTAATTAAAATATAGGGTGAAATTTCCAGTGAAATTGGTAAAGTTTAATATCTTTGAAAACCATAAGTATTTATGAGGATAAGGAACCATGCAAATCTCTCATCTACTGCTGGTGTTAATGTAATCTGTTTAAAAACTCATGAGAATAGTTTGATAGGACTTCATAAGGTAGCCATAAAATTCTCTTTGCAAAAGTCTTCCGAAAGTCCTCAAGGAAGCTTATGGTTATTCTGTTAATAAAAGCAAAAATATGTAAAGATTTTTCAGCAAGAGTGGTGGACAAATAAGTAAATGTTCGTTTATTCATCAGTGAAATACAATTTAGCAGTGAAAATTGGTGAACTGTTGGTACAATTAAAATTTAGATTATTTTGTAAAAGAAGAAAGTTTCAGGAAAATGTATGTAATAATCCCCTTTTCTATAGTTTAGAAAGAGTTACACTAAATATTATATTAAATGAGAATAATAATAAGTAACATTAAAATTATAAAACTACTTTAAAATCTACATTGTATAATGTACCTTCCTAATTTAGGCTTTATTTCTTCTCAGATCTTTCAAATTGAGTGTCTTGTCCAAGTTGATAATTTTGAATAAAAAGTTATTGTGCTACTTGACAGCGAATTGTTTTGTTTCCTCCCTGCAGGTTCAAGCATATACTGGTTTAGGACCGTCACATATTTCACAGAAAATNTTCAAAATGTTACTGCTCATTGAGAATATACATGGTCACCCACAGTCTTTGACAGAAAGATAAAACGAAATTTATGTTTTTATGCCTGCTAATTAATACAGTGCCCACTTGGCTCCAATAAGAAATACATTTTGTAAGGCTGAAACTGCTATAGATAGCTGTTTCCTCTGATGGATCAGGACAAAGTAAAGTGAAACCTTCCTGAAAGGATTCACCATTGTAAGTGCCATTAAGTACATTTTTGACTCATAGAAGAAGTCAAAATATCAACATTTCCAGGAGTATGGGAGAAATCATTTTTAACTCTCATGGATGACTTGAAAGGATTCAAGACTTTAATGAATGTAATAACTGCAGATGTCATAAAAATGGCAAAATAACCTAGAATTAGAAGTAGAGCCTGAAGTTGTAACTGAATTATTGCAGTCCGATGATACGACTTTAACAGATGAGCAAGGAAAGTGAATTCTTGTCTTGAATTTACTTCTGGTGAAAATGCAGTTAATGTGGTTGAAAATGATAGCAACAACTCGGTGTGTTATATGAACTTAGCTGACAAGGCATTGATGAGGTTTTAGAGGATTGATTCCAATTTTGAAAAAGTTCCCTTATGGGTAAAAAGCTGTCAAACAGCATATCATACAACAGTTGTCTTTCATGAAAGGGAGAAGCAATTAATGTGGCAAACCTTTGTGGCAATCTTCATTGTTGTTTTATTTTATGAAGTTTTCAGTCTTCTATAATGATTTAGATAAGTGTTGTACCCCAAAAGCTCATGTGTGAGACAACGCAAGAAAGTTTAGAGGTAAAATGATTGAGTTATGAGAGTTGTAACCCAATTAGTGGATTCATCTGTGTCTCTGACATAGTTTAGAAGAAGGTCAAAGCATTCTTTTGTGGTCTGCTTTAGGAAAAAAGAATATTAGACTGTCAGTGAGATCTTGCTGCTTCCGCTGTTTTTTTCAGATATAAAGTACCATATCTCAGGGTAGCATGTTCTGAATCCCATCAATTTTAAGGCTTATCATGTAATTACTTTATTCAACAAAATGTGATATTGGCTGAAGGATTTAAAAGCTGATGAGTAAAGCTGAAAAACATTGTGAAATATATCTATAATATCTGATTTATTTGATTTATTGTAAAGGTGTCAATTTAAATTAAGGGAGCAGGGATTAGCTTTTCATAATAAATGGGGCTGAACAACTAGATTTTCATATGGAAAACAAGTGAAATTCTATCCTTATCTCATACTGTATATAGAATCTAACTTGAGATTGGAATTTAGATCTAAATTTAAATGACAAAGGAATAGTTTCTGGTACAGAAAACATAAGAGAAAATCTTTGGAGTCCTTGCAGAAGGTAAAGATCTCTTTGGCTATTAAAAAAATCACAAATATAGTATAAAAGAATGATAACTTGGATTTCATGAAGATTAAATTTCTCTTTCTTTCAATGACACTGTTATAAAAGAGAAACCAAAGAGCATTACCTGTCTACTCACTTTGTAAAAAATGTCTTCAACACATATATCTTATCAAGGATTTTTTTCCAAAATATATAAGGATACAAGCAATAATTAACAGGTAAACACACAATGTGAAAAGATGTTCAACTTGACTAAAAATGAACTCCTATTAAAATACCACTAAACATTGATTCGAATGACAGCACTATGTCAAGGTATTGATATGATAAGGATTTAAAACTCTCATACATTGCTGCTGTAACTAGAAAATGGTATAATCCCTGGAAAATAGTTTGGTGGGTTTGTTAAATAAATACATACTTACTGCATAACTTGGAAATTCTTCCTAGGTTTTGACCTAAGAAGTGAAAACATGCCCACTAAAAGAATTGAACTAGGGCTGGGGTAGTGGCTCAGCAGTAGAGCGCTCACCTGGCATGTGCAAGGCGCTGGGTTTGATCCTCAGCACCATATAAAAATAAATAAATAAATAAAATAAAGGTATTTTGTTGAACAACAACTAAAAAACAGAGAGAGAGAGAGAGACAGATAGACAGACAGACAGACTTGACCTAGAATGCTCATAGAAAGGTTATTTACATTGGCTGGGGATGTGGCTCAGTGGTGGCGCGCTCGCCTGGCATGCGTGCGGCCCGGGTTCGATCCTCAGCACCACATACCAACAAAGATGTTGTGTCCGCCGAGAACTAAAAAAAAAATAAATATTAAAAAAAAAAAAGAAAGGTTATTTACAGTATTAAAAAGCAGAGAAAATCCCAACTATCTATCAAGAAGTGAGTGGATAAAAAGTAATGGCATATACAATGGAATACTTCATTGTTGCATTTATACATTCAACAGTGAGGGTCAGTGACTAGGAAGCAGCTTCCTTCAAACACATTACAGGGTATTTTAGAAAATGATTTAAATTCCAAAATATAACATGTATATGGTAAAATAGGAAGAAAATAAGTCCGTCCCTTTCCTGAATGTGAGTATAAAAACATTGAAAGTTGAAATTAATTTAGTATAAGTGGTTATGAAAACATTGAAAGTCTAAATTAATGTAGTATAAATAGTTATTCTTTTATAGGATGCCTAATGATTACCAGGAGCATGAGGGAGCTTCTGAGTTACTTGTAATGTTCTGTACATGGATATGAGTGGTGGGACACGGATGTGTTTACTATAGGAAAATTTAGTGAACTTTTTGAACTTCCATGTATTACTTTGGTTTATGGACTCCAAAGTAGTAGGTGATACTTTTTAAATAATTGTACTATTTCTTCTTCTCCAAATGAAAAGACTTTCAGCAAAAGGACAAACACAAATAGCCCATGAAACTATGATATGATACCTACCTATTACACATTTATGAACTTCTAATTAAAATATAGGGTGAAATTTC